TCGATAGACACCTTTATTAGGCAAAGGGGCTGTGCCAGACCATGCCTCATGGACGTTGACGCTCTCGTCCGTAACGCAATTCGAATTTTACGGATATCCTCGTCCGTCGCCTTTTTGCATGGAAGGCGTTTCGCGGTCTGGGCTCGTCTGTGACTTCTCACGGCTTGAAGTTTATTCTGAGTTGAGCGGGGAGACCCTCTACCGTCCGAGAAGGTTCAACGCTGTCGAATTCGAACGCTGATCCTACAATCCCATCATCGGCTTCCCATCTAGTAAAGTAGCTGATGTGGGCAATATTACATCAGCCACCAGCTCAGCTCAGCTGTGTCACAGATGTAATCGTATCATGATACGAATCCGACATCCTTCGAATGTCCATGATGCTGTGGCATGTTGGGTTGAACTTACCCTGAGCTTCCTCGTCCGTCTCCAGACCTGGCTATCTGGAAACTCCATATTCTGGCCTAAAATAAGCATCCAGAGCTTACCAACCGTCGTTTGGTGCGCCCGTTGTGCCCAAACGTCGTCTGACATCTCAGGAACCGGGCACTACGCGTCAAGTGACGCATTCGTCTGGTGCGTGATTGCTGGACGATCATGAGCTTCGAGCAAAGTCGAAGGCCCACGATCAGAGGTCAAGCTTCAACCAGCCAGCTGGACGCATCAAGCAATCGTTGACGAGCGCCCGTCCTCGCTGACAGCTCATCGTTTCCAGTTTGGAAGTTGTGATGACCACTCCTTGTTGACCCTCAGCTATGCCAACCACTGGGAAGCCATGGACATCGTGAGCCTCCACTTCTGCATGTGATGAATAATCATCAGTTGACGCCTCGAAAGGCCGCCTTAGGGGTGATTGCAACGCCTAAGCTCGGAACAGGTCTCGCGACATCCTCCGAGTCGCGAAGGCGAATTCCGAAAACGAAGACCGTGTGTGACCCGGTTCCCCGCGCTCCACGCCCCGAACCCCGTGCCGTGTCTTAGCATGTGCCCGACCAGCCTCGGCCGGAATCTGGAATTCCCGCTCTCAAGTTCCGATGCCACTCGGGGTTATGATTCTGGAGAGGCTTGGACGAGGCGCTTTGCTCCAGCTCTTCTGGGTCACAGTATTCAGCCACGCCGATAGCGCTGGGGGACGCCACTCCCTCTTGGGAACTATTCAGGCAAGAAGCCTCCCGGATTTGGCGATACGAGAAAATCGGTCACGCGACCTTGTTTCTTTTCTCTCCGAGGCAGTATTTTCTGGGAGGCTAGACATTGAATAGCTCCATGTCGATGTTGGGCGTAGGCAGGAGGCTGTGACACATTGTGCGATTTGGGTGGCTTGGCTGGCTTGCTGGCTGATGATAGATACGTCCAAGTTAGTCAAGTATGCTGAAAGTGATTCGATTTGCTTTGATTGCTTTTCGGAAACTCCCAGAGAGACTATGATTCTGGCAGTCATCGCAATATTCCGTGGAGCGCCCGGAACACGCGGCTGTGAGAGTTCGAGTATGTGCCTGACCGGAGTAACGGATGATATCCCGTCCAGCCACCCGTGGGGGGTGTGCAGGTATTCCCAAACATCTCACAAAGAGACGGAGAACGCATCGGCGCCATCGCATCGAGTACCCGAGAGTTGGCTGGATGAATGGGCTTGCAATGAGCAAGATTGTGTGGTGACTACGTCGCCTCGGGCTGTCATGCAGGCATCTTGATACCTTCAGTGATGGGAGGACTTTAACACGAACGACCGAAAATGATAAATTAAATGAATATGAGCGAGCAGTAAGAAACATCATACTTGCGAACTTGAAGCCGCGGGTTTGCCACGCCAGGGAATGTCTTGCCGCGTGAAAGTAGTCAAGTACAATTATTGGAATAGTGGCTCATCATTCTGCATGTATGGATTGACTTTGGCATGTCCAAATCAAAACCTTCGTCGTAGAGGCATGCGGTGCTCCACGCGGAGGTGAGCCATGAACATCTATGAAGGCTTCCATGGGTGATGCTATCTACTGGGTGATCTCAGAATGCTATACTATCGTGAGTTTGTAGTTACGACGCAGCCCCCCCGCAAAAAGACTACGGCAAAATTCACCTTATACGCGGTCAAACGCTTTTATTGAGTTTGTATATGCTATACTATCGTGTTCCATCTATGTGTGGGCTAACATCTAGTAGTAAATATCTAGTAGTAATCACCTCAATACTAGGAAATTGTGTCCAGCCCAGCCTGCTCAAGAAACGGCCTGTCAACCTTCACCAGAGTGCATATTTACTAAAGCACCAGACGTATTATTAGCCTATTTGAAAGTCTTAAGCAAAAAAGCGCCGTGTAAGAATTGTCTTAACGTGTGCGTTGTGGAAAGAAACGATTCGCGGTTTCCATCGTGCAGAAGAACACTAACCACTCAACCCTGCCTGCTCCGAATTGCTCGTCCTCCATGCCAGAAGAAAATATCCCAGTTCATACTTCGCCTTGTGGGAATGATGCTTCTAGGCAAATGTTGATGTCGACAAGACGCTCCGTTTGCTTCATGAGAGCGCAGTCAACCGTGCTTATCCATGAGATCGCTTAGCCGTCAGGTAATCATATTACGAGCCGCTCTCAAATGTGGATTGATGATGCCCAGTCTTCCGTCAAACCAGTAACATTGGGTTGATTCCAACACTGGATGTACTCATCAGCCGTTACGAGAGAAATATATTTGGCTCAAGAGGCGTGCGACGGTGACAAGCACGATTGCGTTGTAGTTCCTAAGAGATACATCAAATCTTCATATGACCAAGAAAGATTCAAAAGGCGGAAGTGATCAGGTATCTTGCCTAATGGAAGTTCTGTTCAAAATTCCTAGGATCCGTGTGACTTGCTGAACGACGTCGATCTCTTACGGACGAATGACACTTGTCTCACGGTCACCCTCCCTTCTTTCTCACACAAAACTATCAACGGCCAGCAGATGATTCCGTTTAATAGGGGGAAACAAAATATGCTCATACATTTGACGCTCGGTGTGCTCCCGTGAAGTTTTCAATTGTAGAAAGCAAGGTTGGCTCCCCACAAGACCGGTACCCAGCATGTCTGATGGAGGCCCGCTATGAAAGCTGAGAAGAAATGTGAACGACATATTTTACCAGCTTTGCAACGGCGAGGATCAACGATAAAAACAAGATACCCCAGGATCTCATTCCTCTCTCTACATCCACTAATTCTCTCAGGAAGCAGGAGAGATTGGGATAAACGAGCGGGTCATCTGGGGGCCAGAAAGATATAGACCGCTGGAGAGGGTCAGAGACAGGCCTGTAGAGATGCGACATGGCTGACATTGACATTTAGCAGACCTTTTGGTATCTAATTCAGTGAGCATGAGTTACTAGAAGTTGTGTATTGCTTCAAATTCTCCTAGAAAATGCACAATAGAGTCTTGCAGAAGATAAGCTATGCCGTCCGTGAAGAGTGTAGAGTGCCGCACAGGTGTAGTAATTGAGGCCTGCATAGTTCAATGTGAGTAATACCGACCCCGCGGATTCGGGACCCCTGCCATTCATTGAGTAACGAATCTTTTCGATGCCTCTTACTGCCAGGATGTTCCTATGTCGAAAGGTTCAAGTCATCTCAAAGCATACCTGCTCCCATTCGCTACCATCGGCATAGCACGGCACCTCCACGACCCCAGACCCAGGGCTTGGAATCTTTGTCTTGCTGGGAAACGGGCCAGAAGATAAGGGCTTGTGCTCTCCTTACTCAAGGCATAGCAGATGATAACCGCCAGTGAAACAACTCTGGTCACGTGGAGAACCACTTAGCTATCTAGGAGGCGTTGATCGGATCGCCTCGGTGGTTTAGCCGTCCTGTATGCAACATGAGGCTGCTAAAGGGGAAGTGCTTTTGGGGTTCTCCATCCTTCATATCTATCTCGCTGGATGTACTTCGAATGATCTCGTCGTTGTCAGAGAAGCAGGGACGAAGAGGTCGTTGCCAGAATCTTGTATTTCTTGTATCACAGACAGGCATTTTGAAGTCTTATCGTCTCGGGAGCATCTCGTCGATGGACGGCTAGAGATGCTCCAATATACTGTCGAATCATTTGCCGCCGGGGTGAACGAGTCCGCAGCCGCGAGGTCGACGCTGTCCCTGCTGCTGCGGAACGATTGCCCGCCCCGAGGAAGACTTCTGCCTTATAGCTCACGGCCCCTTTTGCTCGGCTGAGCTGGCGATGATGAGTGAAGGCAGTACAGAACGGGCGATAGGGACCGCTTCGGGGCGAATGATCTGGTTCCTCCACTGGAGTGGGCCCGCGAAGGCGTGTAGAGAAGAGAGCATGTGCTTGATGATGGTGTTTTCCTCAGAAGTGCCTGCAGTCGTCGGAGGCTTCCGAGAGGAACAACTGGCAAATACGACCTATGGGGTTTCGAATGGCCTCGTTCGACAGGGAAGCGCGTGCCAGGTCGACGAGCCCGAGGTTTCGTTTGTCAAAGGTATGCTTGTCATATCGCAGTACAACGGCACAAAACGAACAAGCTAAACACTCTAGCCTTATGTGTTATTTCTAGCGAAGTGGACGACAGTCTGCTGGAACCGCTACTCCGTGGTAACCATTGGCAATGAGCAACTCAATGAACCCTAAGTGGCAAAGCGGATAAGACCTAGGGACGAAGGAATGCGTCGTTCCATACATGAGTGATTCACAGCAGGTTGTGGATTAGTCTGGGGGACACAGCTCATTGCGCTTCAGCTTCGGGATGTAGAGTATTGTTCATATTCGTCTGATATTCTTTGAGGTCCTGAGACCACCTGTTTTTACTATACTCATCCTCTCTTTACGCATATCGGGCCTGTCGACGCAGTGCATACAATTATGACTTCACAGACTTCACAGAGAGACCAAGAAGCTCGGTGATTACTGTCGATTGATAGAGTTGATAATTGATTCTCTTTTCCTTCTATAAATTAAAGCCACCGCGTAACGCCCAACATGCTATTCATTCAAGCCGATTACCAGAATACATTAGGTTTAAGTCTACACCAGCAGGAGTGCGCAAGCCATGGCCATGATCAGAACCAGCCCCGACACCGCAGGCCTGCCGGGTGATGCGCCCGTGACCTTGCCGCAGCACTCACGGGTATACGTGACGTTGTTCAACTTCGCCTGGACCTGGAAAACGGAGCCAGGCGGGTCACCGTAGTTGTAGTAGTCGACGTTCAAGATCTTGGGCGGGCGACCCCAGTCTTGCGTGCACTGCGCGCCAGCCAAGCCAAGAGAACCATTTCCGGTAGCATTGTTGGTCTCGTTGAGCAGGGACACGGCAGGGACAAGGATGGAGGCGCCAAAGATGTTGTACTCGGCGTTGAGGTTGTGGTTCATGAGGTACAGGCGGTTCTTGGCGTCTTGGTCCGACAGGTTTGGCGGGCGCTGGACGGTGCACGGGAATGAGCGATCCATGGGGTCGAACGGGGTCTCCCACATTTGGGAGAACTCATCCATAAGCCAAGGATACTTCTGCTGATCGGCGACGTAGTCGAGGAACATGACGACGCGCTTGCCGCGGAGAATCATCTCACCAAGCGTCGGCCAGTCGTCGTATGCCATGGGCAGGAACGGGGCCTCGTAGGTGTATCGAGTGATTCCCGAGGCCTCGATGAACGGAACATACAACTCTGGCTTCGAGTAGTTGCCGTTGCCGAGCAGAATTGTGACGACGTCGTAAGGGTGAGAATCAACCCATTCGCGGACAGTCGTGAGCCAGTCGGTGATTGGGCCAACTGCGGTGTGTTAGATGGGCGCGATGAAGGTACAGCATCGAGAACTTACCATCGAGAATATCGCAGGATGAATGACAGAAGTGCGGCTCTGTACCGTTTGTGGGCCACTGGATCTGAGCTTGCAAGAAGCGCACTCCATCGTTCAGCTGAGTCGTGACATCGAGAGCTTGGTTGGAAGCAGAGTTGCCTGGGCGAACAAAGGGCGAGTTGTGGCAGCCGACCTCGGTGACATTGCTGTACTTCCTGTCGCAGAATTCGACATAGTTGTTGCAGGGTGTCGTGTTCGTCGCGGTGGGAGCGGTTGAAGAAGTCTCAGAGGCGTTGCCGCTGATTGTGGCCGTCATAACAGAGGAGGCGCCCGAGATGATAACAACGGACTGCCCCTCGGCGTTTGTAGTCGTCTCGGTGACATTTCCAGTAAAGGTGACGGAGCCGGTGACGGTCGTGAGCCTCTCGCCGGTGAGCGTGATTTTGGAGGTGTAGGTTTCGTAAGGTCCGGTCGGGGTTCTAGCCTGGGTTACCGGGACTGTCTTCGTTCCCGACAGGAAGGTGACATCTTTGGTATTGGTGAGAGTAAAACTGCTGGTGCTGACTGCATCTTGAGCTGTAGCTGGGGTCGCAACGAGCGAGAGCAGGCCCAGGGAGAAGGCGAGTAGACGGCCGGTCATGGTGGGCGACGCAGCCTCTCGCGAGGAATGTTTGCTGGCTTAACGACTGATGGATATGGCGATGTTGAGGTTCAGGTTCGAGATGGCTGTATGTATTCGTGCCCTGATCGCGACAGGACGCAGTGACCAGGTACCCCTCGAAAAGATTTGAGTTGGGCAGAAGACGGGAGGACAGAAGCCAAAACGGATATCGGATGAGCAGGACGACGACGTTGGGACTGACTCGGGAGGTCGATGACGATCCTGGACACCGAGCTACTTGATAGTACAAAGCAGTAGCCAGAGCGGAGCGTCTTGGAAGCAATCAAGGTAAGGAAAATAAGGCCGAGAGATTTGCTAAAACGAAACAACAAAAAGCCCGGTCGGCCATTCACGCGTGAAGATGCTGGTGCCAATGTACGTTTGGGCGGCGCAACGGTACAGTAGTTAGCAGCAACGAGAACGAGATTCAAAGGTCAAAGGTAAGAGGCGTGCCGCTGTCGACCTCCTATGACATAATATTTGTGTACTGGGCCTGGTTTCCCGGGGTGGCCCAGACATTTGGGGTGGCTAGGCGGGGGCCTGTGCTGAGCCCACCTGGGTTGTCTGCAATGCGCTGGCGCTGGCGCTGGCGTTGGCGTTGTTGCTCCTGCCCGGTGCCAACCTCAGCAGAAAAGAGAACCTAACCTAGAGACTGGACGGCGGTACCGCGAAAAGAAACAACCTTCGAGTGGCAGCAGCCCCCATCGGGCGGGCCCAGGGGCCCAAAGAGCCCCATTTCAATGGCCCACCTCACCGGAAGCTGCTGCGAGGATCGCTGGGGATTGACCTTGTCCCTGTCGCCCATCTCCGGCACTGCGCTGCATGTCCCGTATCAAGAATAGATGTATCCATAGGCACCGCGAGCATAAAACAAACAACACAGAGCGACAATCGAACGACGACGACATCGATGGAGGCAACAACGAATCTGCTAGTGCACATCTGCGGCATGTCTGCGGCGAAGGAGGGGCATCCAGGACCCGGGAAGGGGCCGCGGGCGGCGAGACGGCAGCAGGAAACAAGGGACAAACGGGTAACACCATCCCTGATTCCCTGGCGATCAACGGCACAGCTGCCGGCGCGGCGGGGTGTACGCGTGTGCAGCCTGCTACATAGTATGTACGCGATTGTGGTGGCTTCTGGAATACGCCTCTTGCCAGTTGTCGCTCAACGACTGGAAAGGCCATAACTGGGCTGAAGAGTGATGGACAGAGTAAAGTTTTAGGCTTCCATCAACCCGTCAATCCTCATTTCGTTTGTTTGAATCGAGATAAACAGTGTTGGGCAGGGGTTCAAGCTGATCACTCTTCACGGGGAATTAAATGAGTACCACTCTAGATTGGGACCGAGTCTCTGCTGGGATTCGCCCAGAAAAAATAGAGAGAAAAGCACACATGCCACACGCACAAACACGGGATGCACACGGCACGGCCAAGGCAGCGCTGCGCCGGACGGGGACCGTGGACACCGCGGCCCCCCGGCATCTCTTTGTGAGCATCATTCATCGTTGATCAATAGTGAAGCAAAGGAGCGGACACAGCCATCGTGTGCATGCCTGGTTTTGCCGCTCCCTTCCCGGATGGTATTTAGCAGCAGCATGTGCCCGATGCCGTCCAAATCGGATGGCCAGGAATTTCTGCAGGCGTTCCTTTTTCAGCTGTGAAGGGGTGGCTGTCACCATCAATCATCAGGCCGGCCAGCCGAGAGAAGTGACAAGACGGGGCTCTTTGAGGCGGTGCTAGACCAGGGGCACCGGATCTCGTTTACGCAGCATTAGACGATTCCTACTTTGTATGGCCAAGGGACCCAGAGAAGGACGAGACCGCCTCTCTCTCACACACGTCTGGCTGGAGAAGCGTGACCGTGGTGTCTTATTCATAACACATCGAGCTCCGTAATAGACGAGGCAACTGCCGCAGAAACGACCCTACGCATATGACCGAAGTGGGCTCCCGCTACGGATACCAGGTGCAGGTTACCAACCTTCCTACCCTGCTTGCCTGAAAATGCACCTCTGCTGCATGGCTGCACCACTGCCAAAACACTTTTCCCAGCCCGTGCTGTGATTTTTTCCTTTTTTTTTTTTTTTTTTTTTTTTTTTAGTCTCTTCTCTGCCGGATGGACGTTTCGTTCCAATTGTCGACTGACTTTCTTGAAAAGCTCTGGCTCTTCCTCCAGCCTGTCCATCGGACGAAAAGAAACCAGGGGCCCACTGCACCTTGCATCTGCTTCAAGCCAAGGCACGCTAGCATTAGCCTGCCGCCAAAGACACTGGTCGACTTCCTAGAGTGAGGAAGAAAAAAAAAATAGAGCGGATAGTCGTTGCTACGACGTCATTTCTCCCTGATCGATACCCTCCTTTAAGCTTCCCCAACAGCGATACGCCTGGCTGCTGCCAACTCACCTCAACACCCGACCGCCGACCCTGCCCAGCTCGCCCTGACCCTTGCCCAGCCCATCCGTATTTACCAAAAGCCAGGGATCCGTCGGTGGGCAAAGGTCTGGCCTGGCCTGGCACTGTTTAGTTTATTCTGTTTTTCCTGGTTTCGATCGACCGGTCTGTCTTGGAAGTTGATGCCCATCATCATCACCATCTTCGACTTGACGCCGCTTCTTCACTCTTCAGCCTGGTGACATACTGCAGACGCGTCGTCTTCTTCCTTCGCAGGCGAGACATTGCTGCTTGGCATTGGGTGTTGGCAGTCTCGATTCAACTCGACCCAGACACCCATTCTTTCCTCCCGTCACCCAATCCGGACTCTGGCGAGAGAAAGACCATCGGAGCCCGCGTCACCTGCACCTCCCACCGCAACCTCAGGTCACAGGTCGAGGTCCGCTGCCGGCATCTACAGATATCTGGGGAAGCACCACAGAGTAAACGCCGTTGCCCCCCGCTTCGGACGCTCGACGACTTCATTCTCATCCACCTCACCCCTCAACCACATCCCAGATGGCTAAGATCCGGAGGAACAGCGCAATCGTTTGCGCCGTTTGTTATTTCATCTCCATCATTTTCCTCATCCTTGTCATCATCGGCAACACATCCATCAAACCCGTCCTTACCGACATCTACTTCTTCAAGCTTGACGTCTCGGATATCATCCCGTTGTCGTCGGGGAACAACGCTGCGCTGTTGAACTCCATTGCTAGGAGTCTCGGCCTGCACGATTTCTACCAGGTCGGCTTGTGGAACTATTGCGAAGGTTACGATGATGAGTATGTCCGCTGCCCGCGTCTTCCCTCCCGATCAACTCACTGACATCGCACCCAGAGGCGTCACCTTCTGCTCAACGCCGCAGAGGCTCTTCTGGTTCAACCCCATAGAGATTCTCACCAACGAGCTTCTTGCTGGCGCAACCATTGCCCTCCCTAATGAGGTATCCACCATCCTCAACATCCTCCGCATCGGCCAGCAGGTCATGTTCGGCCTCTTCCTCGCCGGCATCTCCCTCGTCACCGTCCTCCTCATCGCGACGCCCCTCGTTCTGCGCACGCGCTGGTGGAGTCTTCCCATGGCCATCTTCGCCGGTCTCGCCGGTCTCTTCGTCACGGTGGCCTCCATCATTGCGACAGTCATGAGTGTGGGAGCTCGGTACGCGCTTACGCAGCAGTCCGAGCTTAACATAAGGGCTGTTCTCGGTGTGCGCATGTTCGTCTTCATGTGGATCGCCTCGGCGTTGACCGACCTTGCGTTCATCCTCCACGCCGCGATGGGATGCTGCTGCTCACCCAGAAAGGAGAGAGAGGCGGCTGCCGCGGCCGCGGGCACCACGACAAGCTCGCAAGAGAAGCAGGAGAAGACTACCACGAGCAACGGAGAGAAGCCGTCTAGGTTGCCGGCCTTTATGAGAAAGCGTAGCCCAAGGTCATCCACTTCGTAATCGCGTTGCCGGGGGTGGTTTGAGGAATGATCATGCAGCTTGTGGCAGGATGGTAATTTGCCATTCGAATGGTTACCTAAGTAATTGGATTAGAAAGCCCCCTCAGCATGGCTGCCCGCGGCGGCGAGGATTAGTGAACGCGCCGGGGCAATGGAGGACTCGAGATATCGGCATTTCCAGTCTCGGCAGTACAGACAAGCATTGAGATTGAGCAAAAGCAAAGGCGTTGGTGGTTGCGTTAGCATAGGATAGGACGGCCGTGACGATAGAATCGCGTATTAGAAGGGAGTGACGAAGAACATAGAATAGTGTAGCTTCCTGGACCCAATACCGTACTACTAGTATCCCAACTGCAAGACGGCCTGGCGGGGGTCTGAGGTTTGATGTTGAATAAGCTCTTCCGTGTCGCATCGTGGTTTAATGAACTGCAGCCCGGCGGGATGGGATATACTTAAGCTTACATGGTGGTTACGTGGGGGTCAGCGTACCCCCTATCGCACCTCGGCCTTGGCCCCTCAGACTGAGCCTCGGCTCGTCTGAGCTAGGACCCTGAAGCTCTCATCTCATCCGAAGAGCTCCCTCAGCTTCATTTACATTTCTCGCAAACCAAAACCTCCTCGTCTTCTGCACCTCGAACAGGATTCCACATCTCTCGAGAAACAATTGCACCTCGGGAACCTGCCGCTTGAAACACGTACCACCATGGACGCCGCATCGCTCTTCAACGTCAAGGTAATCAGCCAGCCAGTCCCTCACATCACCCAGCCAGACTAGACTAACAAGTTACTCCCCAGGACAAAATCGTCCTCGTAACAGGCGGGGCCAAGGGCATCGGCCTGATGATCTCGGAGGGCTTCGTCGCCAACGGCGCGACGGTGTACATCTCCTCCCGCGACGCCGCCGCCTGCACCGCGGCCGCCTCCGCCCTCTCCGCCAAGGGGCCCGGCACGGCACACGCCATCCCCGCGGACCTGCAGAAGCTCGAAGACTGCAAGGCCCTCGTCGCCTCCCTCGCCGCCGCGACGGGCGGCAAGCTCCACGTGCTGGTCAACAACTCGGGCGCCGCGTGGGGCGACTCGTTCGACACGTACCCGGACG